GATACCGCGTTTTTAAAAATCAATTTGCAATCAGCAGATGAAAATATATCTGAGTATATTATTTTTCAAAGTGTCAGAAATGGATAACAAAACTGCTATTTTCAATGACTACTTATTTTTGTCCAGCTTTAACATCGGTATTGATATCGGTTATCGGCTACATGAGTTTTAAAATATCGGCATATCGGATATCGGCCAAAATCCCAATATCGTGCATCCCTAATATTTACATATTTTCTGGACCCATCAAAATTTAGAAAACATTTATGTGTAATTTTTTTTTCAGTAAAATCAATACTCTTATTCTGCACCACTCTAGATGTTCTATGGATGTTATATTCTAGAAAAAAATTATCTTTTTGATGAGGAAGTTGTAGCTATGTCCTTTAACTTGCAGTTGTTTTTACCTCTTGCAGCTATTTGCATGAGTAACTCTTATTTTTATGTTTTCAGTACTTCTTTCTATTTGCAGCATGTTTGCACCCCGAGCCACCTCACATTTCACTTCTGTGCAAAACTGAAGCTGATGAAAACGAAGCAGGAGAAACAAAAGGGTTGTTAGAACTAAAAACCAAGGCAACCTAATATGAAACAACTAGTTTAGCTCTTTTGGAATAGCAACCTTTAGGTTTTCCTCTTCCAGCATGTTTTAAGTGTCTGACTAAAAGCACTTGGACACCTGAAGGAATTCACATTTTCCCTCAAGTTTTCATGCAAGTAGCAAACCAAAGATGTTAGCAGGGATCTATGCTAGAATAAAAAAGTGCAGCTTGTTTTTATTCTGTGGATGAGCACAGTGCAGTGCAGAGATTCTAACATTCATTACGGACTGTAGCTCATCTGTAGGAAGAAGAAAGCAGCCAGAGTCAGAGCAACGCGCTGCATGGGGCTGTGAAGTGCTCACCGTGTTCATGTCGATGGTCATGTTAGGTTGTGCAGATGTCTGGTTGTCTGACGTAGAGCAGGAGTTGACAGACGAAGTAAGCTGTACTAGACCCGTCTGCTGTAGAGCAAAGAGTGAAATCACAATAAATAAGACCAGCAACTGCTTTTATAGTGTGTTGGCGGCAAATGCAAAACCAGCAACAAAAAAATAAATAAAAAAATAAAAATGGCCACTCTCGAACGCTTCTCTTTGCATAGAATTTAAAGCGACAGCAATTGGCAAGGAAGGAGAAAGGCCTCCTTTGTCACCTCTTGGTTGTTGTTTAGAGGACCCAAATGCAGAGGCAGAAGTGATTTCTTGGTGTTTTAATGGTAACACAAACAATAGGGGGCAAAATCCAAAAATACAACTAGAAATGTTACACAGACCGGAACCATGGAGACATCAAGGGAAAACACGCACAAGGACCCAGGGAGAGACGAGGTGAGAGGACAACGGTGACAACAGGACCAGCAACAACAAGGAACCAACAAAGAGTGAGAGCAGAGGGAGAGTATATATAGCTGACAGAGACAAAAGGAGGGCTAACGAGCTGACAAGGAGCAGGTGTGAGGGGAGACAACGAGGGAGCCAAGGGGAAAGGAAGACATACAAGAGGGCAACAGAGGACAACAGAAAAACAGGAGAACTAACATAAGCCTAGAAATAACAAAATAGGAATTAAACCAATAAAACTAGAAAACAAGGAGCAAAGAAAAGCACAACATAATCAAAACCATGACATCCTTAAATCCTTAAATTTACTTTCCACAGTAAATTTGGTTGTGCATCCTTCGTAGGTGCAGCAACGCTCTCTCGCTTTGCTGTAATCCACAAAAGTAACCGTTTGCAAATGGTGGCCAGCAGATGGCCGCTCACGCTGAGCCTGGTTCTTCTGGAGGTTTCTTCCTGTTCAAAAGGAGTTGTTTTTCTCTCCACTCTCGCTAAATGAATGCTGGGTATGAGGGAATGCTGTAGAGCAGGGGTTTTCAACGTTTTCCAGGCCAAGGACCCCCAACTGATGGCGAGAAGGAGCCGGGACCCCCTAATTATATATATTGTATTAAAATTGTGTTCTATCGAACTGGTTCTATAGTCACTCTATTACAGATAGAGTAATGTAATGAAAGTAATTTTCCCCTGGAATTATTAAAGTTTTTCTGATTGTGATTCCTGGTTGATGGGACAGGTGTTGTGAATGAAACGGTGCCCAGCTTGAAAGAGCTGTGTGTCGCTGAATGTCATTTGCCTCCATTTATCCGTTTACTTCAGTTTGTTCAATTCATGTTAATGTGTATTTAAAAACATTTCAATTAATGGAAATAATTATAGGGGGAATATAAAAAAAAAAGTCTAATCAACCAAAACTTTCG